CACCATCGAAACATCATTTTGGGCGATGATAGTTTGGCGAGCTTAGAAGCACAACTGACTGTATTGCAGCTTCGCACAGACAGTCAATAAATCCCCGGAAGTATGTCTTATATTTGTTTTTTTCCTTTGTTTCGCCTTGGGCTTCCTCACTTCACTATTTTTTCAGGAAACCCATGTTGACTTCCCCTGACGCAGGCCACGGTGAATCGATGCTTGCTGCCTGACAACTGGCGAACTCAAGGGGAGTGCAGACCTCGGAGCTTTTTGCCAGCTGTCCCGGCGAGACTGCCTATGAAGTTGCTGTTAGTGCAGTTGATGCGCTGTGGCTACCCATTTGAGCACTGTTGTTTGCGTGAGTTTAGACCCCAAGAATCCACTTTTGGCAAATGCTCCGCAATTGCTTGGGCGGGGTTTACGTGGGCTTTCGTTTTGTCCTTCATTTTTTACCACCTGGTGGGCCGAGTTCTATGTTGCGACTGCAACGACTGCACCACATGGAACGACTTCGTGCATGGAGAGTGGACATGAGCACATTGGGAGGCGGGGCCGCTAATCCTCCGGTGTCCGCGTGGCGGGCGTCCGGACATTACCGTACCCAACTCATGTTCCTTCACAAACGAACCCTTCTCTGCAAAAAGATTCGCCCCGTGGCTGCGGGTCTAGACGTTGGACCTTGTATGTTGACCTTGGACGTGTCGCCCTGCATCTCTCACGCTTGCAGGTGCTGCAGACGTTCGTTGTGGACGCTCGAAAGCTTTGCCTCTCGGCATGGAACGCCATACATTTCATCGCATTTCAATGTTTACTACTTGCAGTTGTTTTCAAGATATGCCCGGCAAGAAGCTGAAGTGCTTCGCATTGACCCTGGTACATCCAAGCGTCGTACGCGCAGGGCCAGCTGTCGCCGTCGCCCAGTGACTTCCTGGCTTTGGCGCAAATTGCACGGCGACGGCCGGTTGACGCCACCGGATCTGCACACCTTCCGGATCTCAGCGTCTCTTCGCGCAAGACGAGACCTCAAGAGACGGAACCCTTCCGACTTTTGCACGTTCGCACCGCACACGGCCAGCGTGCGACCTTAAGGTTGTGGCTGGGAGCGAGACCTTTCGGCAAACTCCAATGCATTCTCTTCCAAGGCAAGGATTTTTGCAAACTCTTTGGTGAAAGATCACTAAGTGATCACTAGAGGAGTCTTCCTCGAGCTTTGAACACTCCTGGCCCGGACATTTAACACAACGTTTTTTTACACATTTTCAGTCTTTTTCATATACATACACATTTGTCTTCTGATTCAATGATATCTGTTTGAAAGTCGTCCATCTCAGGTCAGGTTGTGCAAGGCTTCGGCCTTCCTGCTTGTGTGCCGAGGTGATCGCGCCGCTCTTGACTCCACAGACACGCTCTTGACGTGAGGGGACGGAGACCTTCATTCGAAGCTTCCAGCTGCCATGGTTTTCCAGAGTTTCTCTAGATTGGAGGAATGCAGACATGTACACAGATGTCGCTTTCCTCTGCAGACAGCTTGCCCTGGCTGAGCCAGAATGCAAGGCTGTTTGACCATGAAGGGGCACGATCGGTAAGAGTTTGGGTGCACAGTGAGGAGGAACAATTGCCGCCCATGTCAGTGGTGTGGCATCATCGACATGTGCGTTGTTTTTTCTTCTTGATCTTCTCTAAAGCCGTGCTGGGTTTGGCAGTTCCACCCGAAGTCCAGCCCCCGCATGTTGACATGACGCTTTGTCTCACCCGTGCCTACAGTTTTTGCACGCGACCCGCACAAAAGTTCCACGCTGTGCTGGAATTGCACGAACCCTGATCTGCCACCTGCGTTCGCTTCTCTTCCCGCTGTCCTACCTTTCGTGTCTCCCTTCTCTCAAGTACAGTAGAGGAAAATCATCTTCCAAACGTCCATGTTCAGGTTCCATGTGGGCCTCCTCCCGGGTTTGCAAATGTCCCGGCTGACCATTCGATCTAGGTGTTGCAGGTCTTTGGGGGCAACTGTTGACCGAAGGCTAAAGAAATACACTGATACGCCAGCAGCCACTGGTCGACACATCATTGGATTGAATTGATCGAAACTCGGTATCCTATAGAATATGAATATGACGTTATAGTTATGATGTGTTTTTGGATGTTTACTCCCAATGGTGGCCTTGGGTGGCCTAGTCGCTTTCAGTTATGAAGTCAGAATGTTTCTTTTGAGACCTTTCGGGGTTTCAGTAGCTGCCATACCCCCCAATACAGAGGGATCAAACATCTCCGTGAGAAAGTGAAGGACTTGGGATCCTGACACACCAAGCCGCGAACGAAGAAGCTGCTGGCAGCTTGAAGAAGCGGAAAGAGCTATGAGTAGCCATGATACATAACTAGTACAACTGATTGGGTGCCTTTGTGGCAGTTGGACTTAAAGAGGTTCACAGTTCAGAACGTTTTGTGTTGCACTGATTTCAAGACGGCACAGTCATTCAATCATATAGTATGAGTCAGAGACCATATACATGAGATATTATGAGATGCTTCAATCCCCCCTCCCCCCCAAAGAAAAGGGGCTGTATGCGATGCTGTATCCCCACAACCGGCCGATGAGATCCAGCGCAAAGACCTCGGACCTCGTTTTGACCTGGTTTTGCTTAAATCAAGTTAAGTTCTATTTCCCCTATGGTTAAATCATGTGAAATCTCCTTCTAGAAAATAGAAGACCGATCATAGTTATAACATATATGTTATACTCATGGTAATTCTTAGTAATTCTTCTTTGTGGAACAAATAAGACCTGGTTTACATCATGTTTTGACCTGGTTTAAGACCTCGTTTTGATCCAGCGCAAGTCCCCTGGAAACATATGTTAATAATCCCTAGGGCTCCTGGCCCACCTCCGTTTCGAAGATGGGACAGGGGTGGGTGGGTGCCAGGGGGGTTGAATACCACCGGTCACCGGGTCGGAGATGGGACGACGGAGCCCAAACGGGAAGATGTGTTCCCAGTTCCTTCAGCAAAGACCGATCTGCAGCGCCGTGGCGCCGGTGTCAGGAGTGGATCAAGCGCGTGGGTCTCAAGGCCAAAACCTGATGCGCCGGTCACTGGTCTTCGGCATGTTCTCGGCCTCTCGCGCGGCATGTTCTGTTTTTTTGGGGGCGAGATTGTTGGGGGTTGGGGTGGAAGATGGTGGAAGGGTAGGTGAACGGGTCTTGGGTGGAAGGGTCCAGGGTAGATGAAAGGGTGATATGTTCTATGTTTTTTTAAACTGCTATTATTGCTTTTGCATGCTAAATGTTGGCTCAGAATGGTTCGGGTGGTAGCTTGTTGGTTGGTAAAGTTGGTTGGTGTCCGCGCTTCCCGCATGTTTGGGCCTTTTCCCCTGCGAGCAGCGACTGCACGGGCCTCCATGGCAAGCGTCGAACCATGTCGAACCCGAAAACTCTTCCTATTGGTGTTCGGGCCCGGATTCTTAGGGTAGAACTTCTTTTTGGGTAGATTTTTTGTACCTGTATATAGTTCTGTCCTTTATCCTACGGGTTTTCAGGCGTCTTTGTCCTGTCCGTGCCTGCTTAGGCCTTCTTGTCCCGCGTTCTCGTGTTTGGGGTCTATATAGCGGTCGCCACGAGGTCCTTGAGAGTAATAAGAAGTTGTTGCACCAACATTTGGTGAATTTTCAGATGAGCTTGGCTAGCCCACCCTGGATGAATCGGTACGGACTTGGAATTGGCAGTTATGTCCAATGCTTTTGGGCTGGGGAATGGTTTATCCCTGATCAGTTCATTTGTTGCGGTATGGTCTACATCATCAACCAGTTCAGGGTTCCTTTTTGACCAGCCCAGCAGAAGCAGCAAGGCGGCACCTGGCGGTATGAGTTGCTTGGGCATGAAACAGTTGCAGGGTGTTGGCGGGTATATACCTGGAACCCGTTTGACATTTGCTTTGGAAAGGAACATCTTATTTTGGATGGTTGGTGGTCCAACATCGAGGCCATTCAGGTTCTAGGTATTGATAGTAGAGCCAATATTGAACTTGAGCTGATTGTATATCGAGGACATGGTTGGAGTTACACTCAAAGCGAGGAGAATATTGGTGGGAGACATGGTAAGTTTCAAAGTGATCCGACACTATGGCAGGATGTGAGCCAGAACCTTGCAACCTTTGAAGCCTTGTGAATTAAGTTGGGTATCCATTTGTACCACCAAACCGCCCGTCAGCACATAGAGACTTTTGGAACCATCTAGGACACCCAAGTCTTCCCCACTCCTGCCCGTTGCAACCCCCTCACCAATGCAACCCCTTCCCCAGAACTCGACCTCATTGATCTAAAAGCACCCCCAGTCATGTAGGCGACCTTTGCTGTTTGGACCCCGGACCCCACAGCCGCCAGGTCCGGTGATGCCCGTGGCACAGACGTGGACCACGTCCGAAAAGGGCGCGGCCGTGAGCGCGGCCCGCGGGTGCGGCGTGAGCGCGGCAAGGGAGACCAACCGAGCGTGGCTTGCGGGCACGACTTCAGACCTGGGTTTTGGAAGAGTTGAGAGAGTTCCACACCACAAACCTAGAGACCCTGGTTCCTTGGTATAGACGGCTGCCTCATTCACTGGGCAAGACACGGGACAGGCATATTGTCGACCAGCTTCACCTCCGGCCTTCAGCTGGGGTGGTCGACCTCGACCTGTCCGTGATCCTTTCGCCGGTGAAAGCTACCGCAGCTGAATTGGTTGAACTATTGATGCTGGGCCGCTGGGGTGCCTGAATTGGAGCACAATGAACTACCTGGAGTCGACCCCTTCGTACCTTGGAAAATGGGTACAGTCGTACCTGTGTGTGTGTGTTCTGTTTTTTTAATGGGGTCATGTCCCATTTTCCAAGGTACTTTGGAGGGTCTAGGTCGTTGAAACGATCTTTACAACTCATTTGCAAGCACCACCGCCATGGTAGCACCAGCTATTCCTCAACCAGTAGCTCTGGGTGTTTCATCATGGAAGTACCGCTTGACTTGCTCCGCCTCCCGCACCAAGGCCGGACCATGAGGTGCTACCCCCGCCTTCACCGCGGTCAGACCGGGGTCGGAAAAGACTCCAACAGGGGCACTGGAGTCGTTCCGAGGGGTGAAGGCGCGCAGTTGCGTGGTTTTGCCCAGTCACACAGGTGAGGATGGAGTGGTCTGGAGTCATTTGCCCTGAGTGGAGGCTGAGACAGCAGAATGCCCCCCGGAGCATTTGACGAGCGCCAAAGCTTGCGCTTTCTTCGTGTAGGAGCATCGAGTGAGTCGGCGCCTCGGTGAACCTATCAGCCACCTGGCGTCATCGTCAGACCATGTCAACGTAGCGAGTCAGCGACGGTTTTTTGGGGAAATGCCAGGAAGGTCCAAGTAATTATCTTCGGAGGTGCGACTGGAACCGTATAATACTATAGTAGGAAAGGAATCCGATGGAATCAACTGCCCAGAACTTTTTTTGACCTTTGTTTTGACAGGGACATCCAGACCAATCTTTTGGCACCCCAGGAAGATCAGGTGTTTTACCAAGTTCTAGGGTGGATCACCAGAAAACACTGGATTTCATCCAACTCACACGCGGGAAAGGGAGGGACCCTTCCTCCAACCACCTTTGTTTCCACTTCGGATGCCCGTTGGATGCCCGAAACCGGTTTCCCTGGGGTGGAGCAGCAAAATTTAGATGGTGTTGCCTGGACCTTTGCCAGGTGACCGGTGAGGTCGGCGAGGTCGTGCTGTACTCAGCTTGGTGAAGTGTTTTTCCCCGAGCCAGGAAACGCCATGAGGTCCGTCATGATGGGTCACTGAAGACAGCGACTTTGTAGGCTTATGGACTTGTGAGGTCAATGACAGATGCTGTGAAGAAAAGATGGGTGGTGGAAGGGGTGCGTTCTAGAAAGGACTTGCGGGTGGCGAATGGAACAGAAGTGAGCAATCCGAATCCTTTTCCTCAAACACATCCAGCCCTCATGAAAGCTCGTGGGCGGGTTGAGGGACTACTCTTCCTTCGCACATCAAACATATCCACAGCACCTGTCGTTTTCGAGCTTCGTTCTTTTAGACAGTTTGGCTGCCGGAAGCAGCTGCTGATCGAGCTGATCGAACCGGATTTGATCCGCAACTCGTCCCAGCCACGGCAAATCATTTATATAATGCACCTGGAGTCTCAAAGTACATCGGACAATGGGTACAAGTACCTGTTATTGTTTTTAAATGGGATCGTGCCATGATCATGTCCAAATTTCTAGGGTACTTGAAGTCGGGTCCAGGTAGTCTTAAATGGTGGTGAAGATGCTGTGCCATCGATGTTGCGTGCCATTTGAATCATTGGTGTTAATTTTTTGACGGAGCTACTCACCAGCCACGAGACTTGAATGATTTTTCCCTGATGATGGATCCACATGCATACTAAATACCTTCTCAGAAGGTACTTGGACCCTCCGAGCCTACACAACTTAACAGTGTCGAACACATCACCATACCTCAGGTTCGGTATGTGGATCCATGATTTGGATTTGATAGCCAATAGTAATACCGAGACACCAACTGGACTGCCATGTCGGACTGCCGTTCGAAACGAAACGGCAGGTGATTGATGGACCCAGGGTCCCATGAGATGGGATATATGTCTTGCAGTCGCACACCGGTGGTGCTTGAGACACGAAACTGGCAATTTTGGGTGGCTGGAAGCCACATGCCACACGCCACACGCTGCCTACTGACCTGCCTGGCTCCAGACAAAATGCATGGCTTCGTCATGCAGCACAATTCGTCCTGCAGCAACAATTGGACATACAAATCATGCGAAAGGTGAAGAACAACTACTGACTGGTGCTTAGTAGGGAATAAGGGAAGTTTCGCCCCCAATAGAGATTCTATTGGATCCAGCCACCCTCAGCCACCCTGCTTTCGTCGCACCAGTCAGACTATGGCTATCAAACCAACCAGACTCGCACGACCACCGAGCGGAACTGCTTCTTCCGCGGAGTCATCGGATCGCCCCATGGCCGGGCGGCCCAGCGCGCGGGGGCGAGCCAGCCGGTTTCCTGAGTGCGGGGTAGACTGTGGTGACCGGGGTGGGTGCCAGGGGGGTTTAACATGGTCTAGGCACCGAAGCTGAGGAGATGGGACAGGAGCCCTAAATTAGTACCCTCGCTTCAGCACCTTCAGGAGACCTGAAAGAGGGAGACGGGAAAAAAAGAGACCACGTCTCAATTGCGGGACTGGCAGGTGCTGAGGGTGCTGGTGTGTTTTGTGATGTTTTGATGACTCACGTATTTCAGAGGTGATTGTTTGTTTTCTCTTCCGACGTGGAAGAGCACCCCCGCAGAGATCGTTGTGAGACTTCAAGTAAACAGAGATGCCTAAAAATAATTGAACATTATCATGTTCATCGAAAAATGTACCGCAGAAAACAACTTGGGTTGAAGAAACAAACTTGGGTTGAAAACTAAGACACGTGGCCCCGCAGACGCCCAGTGAACATCGCCCATGAGGTTGATAGTGTATTGATCCGAATCCATGACTTCCTTGCCAGAAATCTGGTTCGACCTTGTTTGCGCATAGATGTCGCTATCGTTTGTTGGAAGAAGCGACCGGTTTTTATAGGGAAGAGAATGCGTCGGTGTTGTTGTTGTTGTTGTTGTTGTTGCTGTTGTTGTTGTTGTTGTTGTTGTTGTTGTTGTTGTTGTTGTTGTTG